GATTGAAGAAAGAAACTTTTGACTGCTGAAAAAAAAAAAATTCGATCTTGTGAAGAAGATTATGTGGGTTTTGATTTGTGAAGGAGGGCAAGTTGTAATAAAATCATTCTATTTAGGTTCTTGCAGATAAATCAAGAATTGTATGTGATTTGTGTCCTCTGCTCAGTTTGCAGATGGATTCACCGACAAGGTAAGAAAAATTGAAACTTTTTTTTTTTTAATTTTATTTTACAGCTTCCAATTAAATATCTATCTCCCATTTGATTCTCTATTTGATTCTGATTCTGCATAAATTTAATTGTACTGTTTTTTTGAAACCTTTTTGTTTCTATCTTTACCCTGTGACAGCAATTCCTCTCTGATTATCTGAAATTAACGAGAAAAAAAGATGTCCCCTTTTATGAGCTGATTCCGTTTTGCAACTGCCTGCTGTACTGATCCAGTGATCCTCACTACTCCTAAATCCACAATGATTACCTTCATGGAACCCAAAGAAAAACTTACCGAACCCGATAAATGCTTGGACCCTCAGCTATGGCACGCCTGTGCCGGCAGCATGGTCCAAATGCCTCCGGTTAACTCCAAGGTCCTCTACTTCCCCCAGGGCCACGTGGAGCATGCCTCTGAAAACGTAGACCTCCGGAACCTGCCGCGGGCCCCACCTTACGTCCCTTGCTGGGTGTCAGCTGTCCGGTTCTTGGCCGACCCAGAGACCGATGAGGTCTTCGCGAAAATCCGACTGTCTCCAGTCTCCAGTCATGAGGCTGACCTTGATGACAGCGACTGTGGGACTGCTGGGCTTACCGGGCCCGCCGAAAATCAAGAAAAGCCCGCGTCTTTTGCCAAGACTTTGACCCAATCGGATGCGAACAATGGTGGGGGGTTCTCGGTGCCCAGGTATTGTGCAGAGACGATATTCCCCAGGCTGGACTACTCGGCCGACCCGCCCGTTCAGACGATCCTGGCTAAAGATGTTCACGGCGAGACTTGGAAATTCAGGCATATTTATCGGGGGACCCCAAGACGGCAC